TTCTATATAAAAAATAATTAATTTTGGACAACAGAGTTTTATTTGACTTAAGTTCATTTAGTATTAATCACAGATAAAATTCTGAATTAAACTAAAAATTAGACATAAACCGAAATAAAGCACAGAAAACTGAATATTATTCTTGTATTACAGTTAAATGAAGTATATTTGAAAAAAATGTATTGCGATATGGTGACCATAAGCGTTATGGATAAGATAATGTACGGGTTGCACAGACAAGGTCGCATATCGTTTTACATGACCAATACAGGCGAAGAGGCTGTACAGATTGGCTCGGCCACTGCTTTAACTCTAGAAGACACGATTTACGCACAGTATCGTGAGGCTGGTATGAAATTGTATTATGCGTTATCCGTCTATTGTTATACGCATATATATATATATATCTAAAATATTTTATACCAATATATGTAACAGGCGTGTTGTTGCATCGCGGGCAACCCTTAGCGAAGTTTATGAATCAATGTTTCGGCAACTGCGAGGATGACGGCAAAGGGAGGCAGATGCCAGTGCACTATGGTTCTAAAGAATTGAATTTTATGACTATTTCATCTCCATTAACAACGCAACTTCCACAAGGTATTAACATTTACAGGTTTATCAAATAATCGACGATTGTTGCTTTACTTTGGTTGTCATACTTAATGAACGAAAAAGAGTCCTGAAACAAAGATCTTTGTTATTGCAGCTGTGGGAGCTGCCTATGCCTTTAAATTGGACAAAAAAAACGCATGTGTGGCTTGTTATTTTGGCGAAGGTGCCACGAGCGAGGGCGATGCCCATGCGGCGTTCAATTTTGCTGCTACTATATCATGTCCTGTTATTTTCCTCTGGTAATTTTTAAAAAATTCTTGTTTTTATTTCATGAAATAAATGATCATATTATTTCAGTCGAAATAATGGATATGCTATCTCCACGCCAGTCTTAGAACAGTTTAAGGGAGATGGTATCGCGGCAAAGGGCCCGGCTTATGGAATTAACACAATCCGAGTGGACGGCAACGACGTACTCGCAATGTACTATGCTACAAAAAGTGCTAGAGAGTTCTGTATAAAGCAAAAGAAACCCGTTTTGATAGAAGCCATGACTTACAGGTGAACGAATGTTAATTAATATATAATTTTATCTAGTACGATAGCTAAAATTAAAATCATTAGTAAAACAATACACAAAATAATATTCAAAGCAAAATAATGTCGAGTATGAATCACTACAATAAGTTAAAATCTTGATAATCTTTCTTGCTGAAATACTTCCTATAAAACAAAACTTTCATCTAATTAACAAGTTACATATTGTAAAATAATCTTTTAGAATCGGACATCATAGCACGTCAGACGACTCCACGGCTTATCGATCAGTCGACGAGGTTTCTCAATGGGACACCCATTTGCCACTTGTTAGGTTCCGTCTGTATCTAGAGTCACTTGGATTATGGTGTCAAAAGAGAGAGCAAGAATTAATAGATTCTATTAAAAAAGAAATTTTTCATGCCTTTGGAGAAGCAGAACGCAAATCTAAGCCACATTGGAGGAATCTGTTTACGGATGTGTACAAAGAAATCCCTGATCACATCAGAAAACAAATGAATCTAATGGAGAAACATCTCGAAGAATTCAAAGAACATTATCCATTAAGTTCTTTCACACACACAAAGTAAGAGAGAAAAATATATTGTGTAAATATGAATTTTAGACTCTTTTATTTTAATAATATAAAGCACTAAACACATATTATACAAGAGCATTCTTTACAGAACATTATTTTCCTCTCCTTGCTTTTCATCTCTATTGTTTTATATTGTCCGCAATTTCTTTATATTTTTCCATTCTAAATTCTTTCTTTGCTGCAGCGAGCAGTATATTATGAAGTAAATTTTGTTGATATGGATTGTACTGTTCTACACTTGGGTATATGTTACCTAAAAAAAAAGGATGTAATCATATATTGTAAATAAATAAAATTTTTATTTGGCTTATTTAAGAATTTTTAGAGTAAATGTTGTACCTCTGAGTTCTAAAATGGCCCTATCATAGTAAATTGTAGGATATATGTTTGGTGCTTTGTGAAGTTTTGTGAACGAGGTGGTATAATTCTGATATCTCGGTACAAGAACTTTAAATAGTTTGTGCACCAGCTGTTTCTCATGTATCCAAAAATTTGCCAAGTCCATTGTTTCCTTATGTGTAGGTCCATGGCGTATCGCCTCAAATATCAACTATAAAATAAAACATCATTATAAGATTTTTAATATTGAATATATATGAAATAAGATTCAGAAAAAAATAACATCAATAATGTCAACAATGGTGTTCATTAGAACTATTAATAAAATGTACAAAACAAAATCAGATGCAAAATAATATCAAGTGTGAATTATGATAGCTGTGATAATTAAAATTATTAAGACAACGGTATATTAAAAAAATAAGATTCATAGTAAAATAATGTTACATATGAATCACGATGGCAAGTTAAAGTTGTTAATAAGACAACAATATATAAGATTTAGAGCAAGATATATATCGAGTGTAAGTCGCAAGTTAACAGCAAGTTAAAAATTAATGGTTGCGATCACAATCGGTCATGCTCTTCAAACTCGTTGAGCAAGAAACGTGTCTTCATTATAATAAACATGTGTTCGTCTTCTAAATAATACAATATATCAAGTCAATGCACGTGCCTGGTCAACATAACCTCTGGTCTCGTCGGCTCTCGAATAATTTAACTCGAGTCGCTCGTATTTAATCAATGCCGTCAGGGTTTTCTGAAATTTACGAAGTCGTCCCTCCGGACCGTCGGGATTTTTAAACTTTCGACGTGGTTTGACATTGTACCTCAATTTATTTACTAGATTCTCGACATTCGCTTGGTTCATCTTTATCAACTATTACCGATAATACCGATGTTTACTCCGGTTTACTGGTTTACTCTGAATTAGGAAAGATTCAGCGCACTCAACAGCTGTGCGAGTGTTTGCTGTTATTGGTGTATTCTTCTAGATCAGACGTTTAGATCTAGAAGAATATACCAATAACATCGAGCGTTCATTCAACTGAGTCCGCTGAATGAGCCCAAAGATCCGCTTATGAACAAGATAATGCGCACGTTTCATTTCAATCGCAATCTCACGTGCGGTTGTACGTACAATCTATAGCTGCGTTCAGCAAAGAAAGCAGCTTTGCAACTGTTGTAAAATTCTTGAATATGATTGGTTTATACATTTAGATCCAATGAGAAACTAAGAGCAAGATCAATCATATTAAAGAATTTTATAACAGTTGCAAAGTTGCTTTCTCTGCTGAACGCAACCAATCACAAAATGCTTCTAAATAACAATAATAATCTTGAACAGTTATTAAAAATCTTCAAAGTTATTATTTTCAGATTATATAATTGTACTAATTGATCAACATTGGCTGCGTTCAGCAGGCTCAACAGTTTTGCAACTATTGTAAAATTTTTTAATATGATTGGTCTTGCCCTTAGTTTCTCATTGGATCTAAATGTATAAACTAATCATATTCAAGAATTTTACAACAGGATATCGATCATGAAACTTTTTTCCTAGGATGAAAAGTGAAAAGTGACAAATTTCTCCATTAACTTCAATGGTTAAAATTTTCACTTTTCACTTTCCATCCTAAGGATAAACTTTCATGATTGATACCCAGGAGTCGATCCTATATCTTCAATCAAGGTGAAAATTACAAAAGTGAGCAAATTTACTAGGTATTGACCAATGAAATTATCAGTATTCTAGTAAATTCACTCACTTTTGTAATTTTCACCTTGTTTCAAGATACAGAATCGATCCCCAGTTGCAAAGCTGCTTCCTGATTCCTCTGCTGAACGCAGCCAGTGGCTGCGTTCAGCAAAACGTTTATTTTTCAACTGTTAGAAGTTTTCTTCGCGCTGATTGGGTTATGCTTTTAGATCAAGAGGAATGGTCTAATCTCAGAAGAGAATCATAAAACGGTTGCAAAACTATTGTGTTCTGCTGAATGCAGTCATTGATACAATCCTAAATACAGTCGAACCTCCGTAACCTCCGTTATTGTTTTAACCTCCATAAAAGTCATGTCTCAATCTCTCATATAGTAATTTTTCCCTACCACATGTGCTAGCGTATGCGCATGGCATATGAAAGCAATCAATTCTAACCAATAAGATCCGATTGCACGAATATAAACATAGTAATGTTGCGGTCACAATAAAAGGAATAAAGAATTAGGAATAAGGATTCCAACCTATCAGAAACCGTGTATTCCGGTGTATCCGATATCTGATAGGTTGAAATCTTTATTCCTTATTCCTTCTATTGTGGCTGCACCTTAAATGTTTAAGGTCGCAGCACAGACTCTTGCATAACGCATAAGGGAATCAACCAATCGAAATTCTTCTTTTTCATGGAATGGGAGGAAAGGAAAGATTCTGATTAGTTGATTCGCTTATGCACTATGCATTATGCGTTATGCAAAAGTCTGTGCTGCAGCCTTTAACACAGTTGGTGCTCTCCATTCGGTGATACAAGTCATTTCGATAAAAATTGAAAATTAAAGTATCCTTGAATTGAATATAAACAAAATTTTTTAACATGATTAAAAAAATCAAGTTTGAAGGGATTAAACTTAAAACTCTCTCTCTCTCTCTCTCTCTCTCTCTCTCTCTCTCTCTCTCCCTCTCTCTAATTTGATTTTCATGATTTGAAAATTAACGATAATCTCAAATATATGAATTTAAAATAAAAAAACTTGTAAAATAAGTACAATCTGTAAACTTGGAAAATCTGTACGTATATAAAATGTATAGAAAAAATAAATACACAAAAAATAAATAAGTGAATACCCATGTATATCACAGAAATATTTAATGTTTATTTTGAAAATGTCTCACAAATGTATATGTACGTAAAGTAATACAATTATCAAAGTATAGCAATATTGAAATATAGACTAAAGGAAATGTTTCAATTTGACTATGTACTCTGCATTATATCATTTAAAATAATATTCCAAAATTTGTAAATATATTTCCAATCAGTAGTACAGCTTTGAGGATGATTTTTAAAATAACATATGAATGTATTAAATGCGTCGAATGCATTATCTACAGTAATAGTATCATTAGTGTTGTCATCCCCATAATTATCACGTGTGCTTTCTTCCTTTTCGCTTTCATTTTTTTTATTATTTGAAAATGCTAATTCTTCATCATTTAGTACATACCACCCTTGATCGTTATTATCACTATGTAACCATAAATTGATTTCTTCAGTCATATTGGGAACACCAAATTTATTGAATGCATTTATTAACTGATGGTCTCTGTTACATTGTGACTCTGAGCTTTCATGGAATGGAAAAATATTCTTCCAGGCACTTTTTATATTACTGGTTGTCAATTCATTCCATGCATTATTTATTAAGTAGCAACATTGTAATAAATTAAATGATTTTAATTGCTTTTCAACTTCCTCAAAAGTATTTTTGGTTAATATTACTCTTAAAAGATTAGTTTTATAAATATTCTTAGACTTGGCTATGATACCTTGGTTCATCGGTTGTATAAGCGAAGTTACATTAGGAGGTAGATACTTTACTTGGCATTGTTCACTTATTGCATTCAAGTGCTCAATTGGTGGATGACTGGGAGCATTATCCAAAAGAAGAATACATTGCTTAGTATTGACTCCATGAACCTTTTCTATTTCTGGAAGAAACACTTCTTAGTACCATCTTAACATTAAGTTTTTGTCCATCCAAGCATTGTTCTGTGACATATAAATAACTGGTAGAGAATGTACATTTTTAAAACATGATTTTTTATATTTTCCCACAACTAAAAGTGGAAGCTTGTGGGTTCCTGAAGCGTTAGTGCACATCATTAGTGTAACTCTGTCTTCACGTGCTTTCCTTTCCGGAGCTGCAAGTTCTGTATGTGAGACCAATGTTCTGTTTGGTAACATTTTCCAATTGAGGCCAGTTTCATCTGCATTGTATATTGTATCTAATGGTATTTGTTTTTCTCTGACGTATTGTAAGAAGTCTTGGCAAAATTTATCATTCACACCTTTATCTGCAGAGAGTTTCTCCCCATGGATACGTATACATCTAATATCATGCCGTTTCTTGAATTTATCCAAAAAACCATTACTAGCTTTAAAATTTGAAGAACCATTTAATAGAGTATTAAATTCCAGTGCTTTTTCTTTTAACATTGGCCCAGTTACAGGATCACCAATACTTCGTTTTTGAAGAAACCAATTGTATAAACTTTGTTCCAATTTACTGCCTTCAATATTCGTGCACCTTTTTTTGGATTTCCATGAATCATCATTTTTGTGAGTCATTTGAAGAATATCTCGTTTTCTTTGTAACTCTTCTCCAGATTTTTTTATACGTAGAATTGATCCATTACTGATGTTATATTCCTCTGCTAGTCGAGTAGCCTTTTCACCACTATTTAATCTTTTCAAAATTGTTAAACGATCATCAATACTGAGTCGTTTTTTACTCCCGACTGTTGCCAACCTTCGGTTGTTAGTTTTATAATCCTAAAATATGACAAGTTTAAGTAATTATTTATACATATGTAATTACAGTAGACCTTGGATTATCTGATATCTAAAAAAAAAATTACATATAACACTATCATCACCAGAACAATTGTGACGAGAATAATCTAGGAGATAAAAAAAACTATGTTTGATAATTCGGGTTCTACTACATATATACCCAGATAGCCAAGTCTGTAGAAAGCAGATTTTTTTAATCTGCTACACTTAATGCCTACAAAATAACAACAGAATTAGATGTACATACTGTTGACAGACTGCTAGAAAAAACGTAATAGAATCTGCAAGTGTCAGATAATGTCGGCAGGATCTGTTCAGTTTCTGCCAATAATTTGTCTTCACATTATATCGACAGGCGATGTTAACAGAACACAAACCTAATGCGGACGCAATTGATGGCAGACTGCCGTCATTTTCTGCTCGAACTTGTTGACAGTCTGCTAGAAGACTGCAGACGTTTTGCTATCTGGGTAAATCATGTCACATATCATAATCATATATATAATTAATTTTACATTAAGTGTAGGACATACCTCTTTAGATGTCATTATGATGAATAATATATATGTATTGTAATATACGTAACAGTTGGTTACAGTGCTATTGAATAGTACAGCTTGTTTTGGTTATTAAAATTACGTCATAAAGGTTATACTGCATTGTAGTGTTGTCTTCTTCTTCTTCTATATTTGAATGGCCCAGGTTCCAATATATTGTGAATAATTGTAGTGTTGTCTTGCGGAAAAAACTTTGCGGTTTGCACAAGCGCCATTGAACAAGTGAGGACAGAGACTTTACTTTTAAGCTAGTCACACACACTTTCCGTAACAGTAACCTAAACATAACGTAGGTTTTCGACCAATTGCGTTGGTCGTCCATAACCATAACAATTGAGCAACCCGATTGGTCGAAAACCTTTCTATTAGGGGCTCCGCACAATAAAAGGAACAGGGAATAGAGAATAAAAATTTCAATCTATAAGAAATCATGTATTGTGGAATACACAGTTTTTGATAGGTTGAAATTCTTATTCTGTTCCTTTTATTGTGCAGAGCCCTTTACTGTTACGGAAAGTATGTGTGACTAGCTTTACGGAGGTCGGCCGGTCCCGACAAGTTACTTTTACGGAGGTTCGACTGTATAACACTCAGATCTAATTTTATTAAAAATTCTTTATATACACACACACATACACATATATATATGTATATATAAGTAAAATTGCAATATTGTCTCAATATTTATTTTTATTGGAAATCGTTTTTATTTTTCCAAATGTAAATTGTATAGTTGAACAATTATGAAAGAATAGATGATATATAAGGCTCTTTTATTTGTTAACTTTACAGAAATATTACACGACGAAAGGTCGACATGACACGATGCGATTAAAGACACTATTTCACTATGTCTTTTATTTGTTCTTTCGAAATTACAATATAACAGACGAGACATATTAAAGATAATAACACTCGCGATACGACTACCGCGTTTTTGGCAACGTATGTAGTAACTAATAACAAATAATTGCATGCTCAATTTTTCTCTCAATCATTTATTTACGAAGCGAACAGAATGACGGAGTTGTTTCCTTTTTGTCAAACGAAGCGCTATCACCGCCGCGTCACCGCAACGTATTTAATAATAAAATGTCACGCAATACCACAATATATGTTGGTTTTTAGTAAAAATTATCAAAAGGAACAACGACGTGTGTATGTGTGTTAAGTGTAGAGAGTGGACTAGACCAACAAATGTTGCAATTCAAAGTTCTTTTGTGATTGAGCAAAATTTATATTTATTCTAAATTTTTCATATCGCGTAACTCTGCAAGAGTTACTCTAATTAAAGAGATAATTACACGTGCTCGATCCACGCAAGTTCTCATTCAATAGAAATCATTTGTTCGCGATTTACGTAAAAGTCTCAGTGATATATGGAGCTGCGCTAATAAATAATTGAGTGGGGAAACTCGAGTGATTTATTTTTTTTTTTTGTAGAATGGGCATTTCTGTATGTGTCCTTGTATGCGTGCACATGTAAATTTGTAATATAATGGCCTATCGCTGAACAGGCGGTGCCATTGGAAGACCCGTGGTGTTAACGCCGGACAGAGCTGTGTTAGGGCCTAAGAGGACTTGCTTCTGCTGCGTACGTTGCAGGTCTTCCATTTGTGCGCGTTCCATCTCAAAGATAATTGGCGCAAAAAGAATTGTGGATGAACTGAAGACTAGCCATGTGGCTGAACACGAATATGCATATAAACCTGCAATGATATATTCATATAAATGTATAATTATCCTCGTTTTATCAGTTGCTAGTTTTATTATGTATATTGAAAATATACATCTTAATACTTATTGATATTTGTATCTTAAAACTTAAATCCTACTCTAGAATTTTGTTTCTCATTTCTTAATTTTTACTTTTTGCCTTTTTTCATCTTTGTTAACTGTTTTATCAACATTCGTTTTATTGACAATCATTTCTTGTTTCTTCCAAAATTGATCAACTTTTATTTCAAATAATAAGAAACGAAAAATAAGATAAGAAGCAAAGAGGTAAAAAGCAAGAAACAGAAAGCAAAAAGCACATTGTAAAATTAGGCTTAAGAGAGAATAATGTTACCTTTGATACATGTGTATAGGCAGGTTCCAACATTGTATCCAAAGTTACGTACTGGCTCAGGAAACATTTCAGTAAGTCCTAATAATCTCTCCGTTAAGCTCTCATCCTGAATCAAAAGGAATACTTTCATTAATTAACTCCTAAATAATAAAACAAATAATGGAAAAATAGCAACTATGTTACTATTAATTAAAAAGAGAGCAACAAAAATACCATACTCGTAAGATACTATAAATATTTCATTAATTTTAATCTTAGATAAGGAAAGTGACAAAAGCATCACATTCATATAACTTTAAATCTTAGATAGTCGAGCAGAAAGTATACATGTGCATAGATGATATAGTTATAAATATTGGTACCAAACAAAGGGACAAAAAGCTGGCTTTTCTTTTATCATTAAATAACACTTCTCTCAAGTGATCTTTGGTACCACAAGGTACCAAAGGATCAGCAAGATCACACATGGGATCCCGAAGATTCTTACTAAACCTTCAAAATATTCTGGATTTTACAAACGTCATAGCACAAGCCATGATTCTGTCCTCCAAGCGATCATCTTTCTTTCCCTGTGTATAAAAGCGCTGTCATCTATACCTCCTCGTCATCATCCTCGTCGTCGGGGAGGAGCGACTTCACCTCGGGAGAGCGCGCGTCGCTGCTGCCCATGCCGCTGTCGACCTGATGATCTAGCTCCTCAACTGAAGCCATATACACAAGGATGAGCGTGAATGCGCCCCGCTTTCCTAGTTGTGTCTTAAGATTAACGCGGCCGAGACTCGAGACTCGAGAGATTCTCGCTCGATTCTTGCTCACGTTGAGCAGCACGTTCTTCACGGCACAGCACGGTGCACTCGCACGTTCTCTCTTTCTCTTTCCCTCTCTCTCGCGCTAAAGAGCACTACAGAGAGAGCGAAAAAGTATGCACAGCCTCGGCCGGTAATACGCCGGTATATACAACGCGACTCAAGTTTCGTTACGTTTCGTATGTACACGAGCGCGCGATACGAAACTAACGAAACCGCGTGGGACGGAACGCGAACGGATTTCCAATTCCGTAATACCTGTGACTCGAGGCGAGGTTCCCCGCACAGCTGTCCACGCCGCCATTCCCACGAGGACGCTCGATGACTCGATGATCGCGCCCGCTGGACTTTTTACGCGCGCGAAGGAGGGGAACGGAAACGAAGAATGGCATGAAGCTCGTGTGTATCAAAGCTCGAGTTACGTAACTTCGCGCGCGACGAACAGAGATGCTCAAATCTATAAGATTTACGCTTTACCTGAAATTTTATGTCAAGAATATCTTTAATAAAATGACGAATTATATGATTTATATCGAATGTGGACAAAGAGTCGACGCAATATGATTCAGTTGTCTTCTTTTTGTATTATTTATTTTTTCATTTGCTGGAGAACAGTAAATCGAGTTGATATTTTATATTTAATAGTATTTTTTAATGCTGTAGAAAAAATTGTTTAGAAAATTTAATTTAAATCTTTCGTACGTTTCGTCTTTATTTTTCTTTGAATTTTCGGAGAGAATTAAGACTACGGTCTATTTGATGCTACAAATGTTTCGAAGCATTTATAGTGTCAAGTGGATCGCATCCTAAATATCACATAATTATACAGAGTGTCCCGACCTTTTTTGTCAATCACTTTTGTGTAGATAGAGCGGACTAAACTAAGTCAAAAAGTCCTCTACCATTTTGTAATTTTCGCACTAGTTAACAAGATATTAATTACTAAAAATTGCAAAATGTTGGTTTTGAATAATTTTTTACTCGCATACTCTCAACTTTATAGAAAAACTGCAAGAGACAAAAATTATTTATTTTCTTCTCATAAAGTTCTGAGAATTTTTTCAGAACTTTTTTATCGACTATTTAGTACTGTACTTTCTTATTTTTACCAATATGAGAAAATACGGTATTAAATAATTCTGAAAAATTTCTGAAAAAATTTTCAGTACTTTATGAGAAGAAAATAAATAATTTTTGTCTCTTGCAATTTTTCTACAAAGTTGATAGTATTTGAGTAAAAAATTATTCAAAACCAATATTTTGCAATTTTTAGTAATTAATATCTTGTTAACTATTGCGAAAATTGCAAAATGGTAGAGGACTTTTCGACTTAGTTTAGTCCGCTCTATCTACACAAAAGTGATTTGGCAAAAAAGATCGAGACACCCTGTATACGTATACACAGTTGTAGTATAGCAATTTGTTTGAAGTTCCGGAACGCATTGAGAACACCTTCGTAGAGTGATATGAACTCAGTCGCGATAAAACGTGACTCGTACATGAATTTTTACTAAAATTCTTTATATATGTGAATTCTGAACATTTTCATTCTATAATTTTCAAATTTTAAAAACTTAAAATTGTGAATAATTTAAAGTAAATTTTTTTTTTAATCTTTATAAATTTAAAATGTAAAAACTTTTTAAAAATATATAGTTAGAACTTTATTACTTCAGCTTACAGACTTCTTAAAAATGTAAGATTCGAGTTTTTTTTATCAACTGGGTTAACTTCAATAAAATAATTATAATTATTATATTTAATAAACATATATTTAATTTATTAATTAAATAATTTATTTTAAGTAATATTTATTAGGTGTTGAACTTAATTTTTGCCGTTTTTCGTCTCAAAAATTGATTTGTTTCGAAGGGAAGCTGAATGAATACCTTAATCAAAGTAATTTCCTCCATTTTTTACTTTATTACTAATTAATAATACTTTATTAATAATATTTTGATTAAAAGGTATTTCCCATTCGAAACAAATCAATTTTGGAGACGAAAAACGGCAGGAATTAAGTTCAACACCTAATAATTTATTATATTTAATAAGTATTAATATCAGGTAATATATAATATAATGTAATAATAAATAATTAAAAAAAAACAGCAGTGACGTATATATTATATGTCTCTCTGAGAGACATATAATATATACGTTTTACTACTGTTTTTTTTTAATTATTAATTATTATTATTATTATTATTATTTATTAATTTGAGAGACTTTCTCAAATGATCAACAGTTCTGACGCATGAGTATACATAGACAAGAACACGCGCCTCGAATGTCCTCGAATACGCGCGCATTTCACGTGTCACATTGACATCAATTTACATACATCTCATATGAGAGCGCAGGAATGCGAGGAAATCCTCTCTCGATTCTGCAAATACATTTAAATATTAGGATGACATGCCGCGCCTTGCGGAAATACTTTATTCTTTTTTCTCATTCATACAGAACGAAACGCCGATCGTCGCGCCGAAGCTGGCTGGACTGAAACCGGAGGCCGGAGGATCGGTCCTCATTCCCACGTCTGCCCACGTCCCACGTCCCATCGTCCCACGACGCCGGTTTCGTGTCTGCGGGACTCACGTTCTCGTTCCCGACGATCCCGAGCCACGAACTGGCCGTCGCGGAACGACGGGCATGATCGTGCTCTCGACGGAGTGAAACGCCGTTCGCTCCGGATCGTTCCGGATCGCGACACGGTTAAAGTCCGTCCCCCGCGGCACGTCCAACCGTCGTCATCGTCATCCGTGTCCCAGTATTTCCAATTAGTCACAGTGATCCCAGTCGTGATGCGCGTCGTGCCGGCACCCGGGCACGCTCGATCGAGACACTGTGATAGTTGAAACGCCAGAGCGAGTCCTGCAGAGTCCTGGATCCCGGACGATCCTGGTCGCGGGCCGCGGTGACGCATGGCGCGATAAAGCGCGGCGAGGACCAGTGGTGATCAGCGGAGACACTGCCCTGCCCTGACGATCGGCAACGGATGGACGCGGCGCGCCGACACTTATGACTTAGCGGGACCCATTTCTGGGACGTGATTTTCGTGTTCCGGACGACACAAGTCCTCGTCGTCGTCGTCGTGCAGCAATTGACCGGTAGGCGCGATGGCGAACACCGGGGTGCTGCCGTTCGTGCGAGGCGTGGACTTCAGCAGCAACGACTTTGGCGTGAGTACCGCCAGAGATTTTCACAGAGGTTAACCTTGCAGGAAACCACGCGAAAGAACCTCTGAAACACGCTTCACTTATGTCTCTGATTCTGTTCAGGATCTTTAAAATTTTATTTTGTTTGTATATTGAACTCTAACTTTGTTAATACTTAATAGTAATAACTTTTATTAAGCGTAATTTATCTCTGCTCTAGTATAAAAAAAGATGATTAAAAACTGAATGACATGCCACTTTTGATCCATCTAATCTATATCTCAACTTGATTGAGATAAGATTTAGGATTAGCTAATAGTAATAAAGATTGTTTTTTTGCACTTGTAGGATGATAAATTTCCTGAATCCGTGCGTCTTATGACTGGAATACAATGGTTGAAATTAGACAAAACAAATTTGACGGAGATCCCAGAAGAGATGGGCAAATTGTTGAAACTGGTAAAGCATTACTTGAAAAAAATTATGACAATATTTGTTTACATATAAAAAATATTTCTACATCATTATCATTGTTTGCATGAACTTTAGTAAAAAAAGATTTGTCCAGTTATTTAAGTAACTAGGATCACATATTAATGTATTTAATCATTCATTAGGAACATCTATCACTTGTCAAAAACAAATTGGAACGTTTATATGGAGAATTAACAGAATTGGGCTGTCTCAGGACTTTGAACATAAGGCATAATAATATCAAATCCAGTGGTATCCCGGCAGAATTGTTTCATTTAGAGGAATTGACAACCTTAGATTTAAGTCACAACAATTTGAAGGAGGTACCTGAAGGCCTAGAAAGAGCACGTTCTTTGCTCAATCTTAATTTAAGCCATAATCAGTATGTATCAACAACTATATGTTACTAGATCATAGAAAAATTATCGAGGAAGTTCTAATGTTATTTTTATTCTTTCAGTATCGAAACAATACCAAATACATTGTTCATTCACTTGACAGATTTATTGTTTTTGGATCTTAGTTACAATAAACTGGAAACAGTGCCACCACAGACTCGACGTTTGGCTAATTTACAGACTTTAAATCTGAATCATAATCCCTTAGGTCATTTCCAATTAAGGTAGGAGACAAAATTTTCGTATCAATCTTTGAAATATTTTTTTTTCCAAGAATTGCTTTATTTTTCTTATATTGTTTCAGACAATTGCCATCATTAATGAATTTAACGACGTTACAAATGCGAGACACACAACGAACATTGAATAATATACCTTCTAGTCTAGAAACGTTAACTAATTTGCAAGAGCTAGATTTGTCACAAAATAATTTACCCCGAGTGCCTGATGCGCTTTATTCCTTGTCGAATTTGCGCCGTTTAAATTTGAGTGACAATCATATAATGGAATTATCAACAGCGATTGGTGAATACATTGAACTTTTACCATTGTCCTAGTCATATAATTTTGTACAAACTAATAAGAAAGACATTTTCTAGAACTGTGGATGAGATTGGAGATTCTGAACGTATCGCGAAACAAATTAAGTGCAATACCAGCTGCTTTGTGCAAGATTTTCACATTAAGAAGATTGTATTTAAATGATAATGAATTAGATTTTGAAGGCATACCTTCTGGAATAGGAAAATTATCATCTTTGCAGGTTTTTTCCGCTGCTAACAATCATTTAGAGATGATACCAGAAGGATTATGCAGGTGAATTGTTATTCTTTTCTTATATTATCTTACTGTAAGAAAAATAAAAATCTTTCTTTTAAATAATATTACAAAAAGAAATATATATATACATATTTTTTTAGATGTGGTTCATTAAAGCAATTAATATTAACGTCAAACCGATTAATTACTGTACCGGATGCCATTCATCTTCTCACCGATCTAGAACAGCTAGATTTGCGAGACAATCCAAATTTAGTGATGCCACCAAAACCGACAGAAGTACAAAGAGGATCGGGCATTGAATTTTACAACATTGATTTCTCGTTGCAGCATCAGTTGCGTCTTGCTGGTGCTAATGTACCAGCTCCAGTTCAAGCCGCTAGTACGTATTACAAGCATCAGAAAAAATAAAATGGTAAAATCTATTATTTTGTATTTAAATAAAAGCACATTTTTTAATTATAGATAGTAAAGATCCAATCGCGCGTAAAATGAGATTGAGAAGAAGAAGAGACCAGGAGGAAGCTGATCAAGATCAAGCAAAAATTCTTAAGGTATGTCATCATCTTACTAGTTACATTACAATGTTTATATGCGAAGAAACTTACAATTATGAT